TTTAGTGGACCAAATTCAAGAAAATTTTTGTATTATGACTCAGAAGTTTATAAAAGTCATTTAACTGCAACACAATATTCATAAAAATATGATCACGGAAGACATTAAAATTACTTCTCATCATTGTCATAATTATCAAAAACGATTTTTGAGCGGACGGTATGGGTCGCTATATCTAGTAAGCTGTAAGAAAGAAAAGAAAAGTCGATGAGATAAAAATATAATAATCAGGAAAAAAAACAAAAACAAAAAACATCAAAACAAAGCATCATCAAATTAAGACGACGCAGCATCATCAAGCAATTAAGCGACGACGCAAGCATCAGGCCGTAAACAGCAACGCAATAAAGCGCCAAGCCGTAAACAGCAACCGACGCAATTATGGTTTATCGTTAAGAAAGATGTGGGGAAAAGGGCAAGCTTGTCGCAATTGGTTACATTGCACATCTACCACATGACAGGGCTATCTTCATTAGGCCTAAACACAAGTGCCTAGACATAACTACTCAGTCCCTCTCCGCGGTCAGTGACCATCTGAAATAAAAATAATATGTCTTCGCGTGACCGTGTGGACGTTGTTGAAGTGCTGAATCATCGGTAGTTGCTGTTCTGAAAATCGAAAGTTGCTGCTCTGAAAATCGAAAGTTGCTGCTCCTGAAGAAGTTGTCCAAGCCGCCGGTGATATTTTTCCAACGATATCGTCTAATATACTTTACCTGAACTGATGGCCACCGGATAGTCCGACTTACCCTTACCAGCAGACGGAAACCCGCAGAAACACTCCCCAACTGCGACATGCGGTTTTTTATTATCAAGAAAGTGGAAAGGTGTTATCTATGCTGACGAAAAAAGTGTACGTAAGTGGACCAGAGAAAGGAAAAGGTGGAAGCTATGCTAACGATAGAAGACAGTTGAGAGAAAAAAAACTGCGAAAGATGCACTTTGTTTAATTTAGGTGCGATGTCTCGTGATTAGAAAATTAATGATCATCATTACGTAATATTATAGCCGAAAATGGGACTTAATATAAGATTCATTGTATATTATATCGTGTCGTGTTATATCTATTGAAGGAGTCTTAAAATCCTGTTTTTTACAGTTGGTTTATATAATAAGTAAAAGTGCATGCATTATTCTATGAACGAGATTCTGCCTATCACTAAGCAGTTACTCACATCAAAGAAATTACTTTAACAAATAATATAATAAATGCAAAGGAGCTTTAAATTTCATTAGTAAAAGATTTTTAAAAGGCAAAAGTGGCATATACCATAAAATTTTATTGAATAATAATTGAAAAGGTACAAAATAATAAAATAAAAATAAAAAAATAAAGGAAAATACATCTAAAGAAAATAACTTAAGAGCCATCACAAGTCTGTAACTGAAAAAGCATGCGGATAAACCATAAGTTAACAGACTGAAACGTGCGACAGCCCTTAAACTAAAAAGTTAGTAATTTAATAATGAAAAGAAGAACTGCAATAAACAAAATGAAATTGTTTGCTTCTCTGTTGTATTATCTAAAGAACGCCATGAGAGACTTGAACTTTTTCAAAGT